GTTGTGTGTCTGGCCTCTGCCGGTCTGTGCAGTCCTGACTTTTCAGAGTGTGAAGCCCTGCACATCAGGGATCCCTGACATCCAGCTTTGGATATAAATAACCGAGAAAAGTGGTGAACCTGTGGTTCGTGTGCCGCCTCCGGCTGTTTATTGTCATCGAAAGCCTCGCCGTCACTGGCCTAGAACTTGCAGTGAGGTGAACCTGAGCTGAAATTCTGACTCCATCATTCAGTAGCACAGATCACGAATGCACAGGCTGTCCAGCTCCTCTACAAAATGGGAAGCTTCACCTCTACTGTGAACCTTACTGTAGGTTCCCATGAGATTAATGCGGAAAGCGCCTGGGTCTGCAGCCCTCACCTCAGTGTCTACTGAGCCTTCCCCATGGAGCCACACCGCCCACTCCTCAGCAGCATCTCCTTAGGGAGACAGGGCCGGCGATGCGCTCACTAGCTGGGCAGTACTTGCTCAGGGAGGAGGAGGTGTTCCGGTGCCGGGGTCCCTGTTATCTCCTCCTGAGTGCTCTGTGGTTGGTGGCAGCAGTGATGGGGTCAGGCAAGAAAGGCAGCGGAGAAGTCAGGGGAGCCCCGAGCTCAGCTCGCAGGATCACCACAGGGCGCGGTGACAGCCGCCTGTGCCAGCGGCCAGGGGTACACCGGCGAGCAAACGGTGGAGTTCTGCCCTCTGTCACCTTGGTGCACCGGGTCACTTTCCCTGTCTCTTGGCTTCCTCCCTCACTAGCCAACGTGCAATGGACATTTACTGGGTGCCCAGTACCAAGCAGGAGAGGAGTCTGCCTCACCGACTGAGACGCCACCAACTTCCCTGGGTGGACATAAATGAAGGCCACACTTTCCTCGTCAACAGCCAGCCCTGCCGGCCTTTGTAGGAGAAGGTCCTCAGGCTGCCGAGGCTGCCTCTGCCTAAGCGCACAGAGAACCAGAAGTACCTGGAAGACGACCTCCCCAGGGAAACCCTTTGCATGACTGGCAGGGGTGGCAGGTGTACGCCAGTCCCCTGCCCACGGGTTCACTGAGCAGGCTGGGTTTAGATTGTCTCAGTTGCCCTTCAGGCCTTTCGCTGTCTTTGTGTCCGCGTCCTTGATGGGCTCTCTCTCCTTCCTTGTCCCTCCTCACTTTCCTCTGTCGATCTGTTTTTCCTGGGGCCACCTCCTAAGACCTTACTTTCCGATCAGCCCCCTGCTCAGGAGCTAATGTAGGGGAACTCCCCAGCACAAGGCCGAAAGAGGAGAAAGAAGGAGGTGGCATTTGTTCCTGGTTGTTCTGTTATTGTAGACAGATGTGGTATATCAGAAGAGAGGCATGATGAATAAAGTACTGCTTTGCAAACTAGTTACTTTTAAGTTAGGGCACGGTCAAAATCATCCCTGTAACATGCGCACGCTCTCTCACTTGCACTCTAATATGCTTACTGAGTGGGGAAACGGAGGAGGCAGTTACGTGCAGATCTACTTGCGGGCTTTGCAAGTAACTGCCACCATGAGTACAGCAAATATCAAGGGAGCCAGGAAGAGGGTCCTGTGTGTAAACATCAGCCATTGTGTGTTCTACGGTGTGAAAAGAATTGAAGCATGCTGGGAATTTGGGTTTATAGGTATGGGGCTTGGAGGGCCGGGCTCCTCAGGCTCATGTGAATAGCATGTCTTCCTCTCATTAGGAAGCCTTCCCCGGCTGTCCAACTCCTCACTAAATCCACTTCTGGAAATTTTCTGAGATTCTTTCCTCTAGCCGCTTAGCCCACCCTGCGCTCTCCCTCCTTGGCCCTGTGGAAAGTGGCTCTCGATGGAGCTACTCTCTTAGCACTTGGACCCTCCCTTCCTCAGCTAGCCTGAGTTTCTAGCTCAAATCACAGGCTCAGCAGCTGGAGCACATTTCATGGTGCAGATGGGCGCTGGGCCTGCTGTCACTGTCATGGCTATGGCAAGAGATCAGCTTAAATCCCCAAGGACTGGGATCTCCCTGTAGCGGAACCTATACCAGTCACATGTGGACACCCTCGTTTCTGCTCAGCTCCCCTGCCAGGTTGGGAGCCTTGCCGCTCCCATCCCTGCAGGCCTTCAGCCTGGACCTCCCCTAAGGGTCTGGCCCTGGCCCTGGGACCATCTAGTTCATACCCTTAAACAGTAGAGCCAGAGCCCCTGGCAGCCTTGCCCTGTTTCTGCTGTAACACTGGCAGCTCCCTACCCCTACTGAACTTAAACTTCTGGTGCCTCCTGACTCCAGAGACTGGGCTTCTGGCCCCCTCTCCCTGCCTTCTGGATTCTAGCAAACTGGATGCTGAGGCTTCTGAAGTAGTGATGTAGAACACATTCCTTGGTATCTATCACATAGTCTGTTTTCTGAGTCTTTAGACACTGAATGATGTTTATCAGCAAAGGGCCTTCCATCTTTAGGTCTTCAAAGGCTGCTTGGGGTATATAAGATATACAGGAAGTACTCATTAAATGACTATTGGTTAATTATAATTCTTCGTCATCCTGGTTTGGGATTTATTCATGCAATCATCCTTTGTCCATCCATCCACTCAGTTATATGACATACAAAAGAATGACTCCATCTCTTCCACCCTGGTCTCATACGTTCTTACCCTACATAAGGATGTACATCCATCAGAGGGAATTTCAAAGCTTCTTCTGGATCTTGGTCCAGTAGTAAATACTCCTGCTATGTCTGGTACTCCTGCGAGTGAGCACTGTTTAAAAGTTCTGCAGATACTGTGAGTCACTAACTTCCCAATGGGCAGATTGGGCTCACAGATTACTGGGCAGATAGGAAAATATTTCAGCTTTTCCTTGTGGATGTGAAGATTGCATCTTCCCCTGAAATAGATATTTATCCTTGTGAGATATGTGGTTCTGCAAAGGTGTTTTTGATTCTTTAAGGGCTAAAGAATAGTCACCCCTCCTACTGCCCATGACACCTTGGAAGAGCACTTGTCTGTGGGTGGGGCTGGAGCCCCCCAGGCTGATTATGTCAGGCTTGACAAGTGCCTGGGGAATGCCTGATGGGACACGGGTGGGCCCTTGGGTAGGGATGGACTTTTTTCCAAGGCTTCCAGGGGAAAGGAAGTCTTGAATGCCAGACTGTTCTGATGTTGGGGCAGTGGAGGGTCGCGTCAGTCAGAGACAAGCTGGGAAGGAGGTGCCCTCCTTCTCTACCCCTTCTGGCTTCTTGGAGGCCTTGCTGCAGCAGATTTGCCCTGAAGCGGGTGGAGCAGCCAGTGCAGGGGCTGGCCAGTGAGGGCTCCATTTAGCAGAGAACCCCACTTTCTCAAATAGGGTACATCCAAGGGCGGCTGACTAAAGGGAAAGCTGACCTTAGGCGACGTGCATCTGTTTTCGGCTCCAGGGCCGTGCAGAAGATTTGCTGTAGGCTCTGTGGGTCTCAGAAACTCACATCCCAGAGTAATCCAGTCTTGAAAAGCACAGGCAGATGCCCAGTGTGTGCTTTCAGAGGGGAAGGAGCCAGGAGGGCTTTAGAAGTTTATTTCAGTGGGGCTTGAAGAGATTGTGCAAAGGTCTGCAGGCGTAAAGTCTGGGCCGCCTGGGCTGGGGATGCTGCCGCGCAGCTGACTGACTGCGGTCTATGCTGGGAAGAGATAGAGGGGAGAGCAGGTCTCTCGAAGCTGTTTTATTAGTGGAAATGCAGATTTAGTTGGCTAAGGGCATCTGAAGTGCGTCTAAATTGCTTCTTCTGTAAATAGCACAAATGAAGCTAGTTAGTGGTTCTCAAAGTAGTATCACCTGGGAACCTGCTGGAAATGCAAATTCCAGGCCACGGCCTACTGACTCATGCTGGGGTGGGGCCCACCGCTTGTGCTTAGTGAGCCCTCAAGGCGATTCTAACGCAGGCCAAAGTTGGAGAACCACTGTGTAGTGGACAGAATACTAGACTTTGGAGGGCTGTCAAGGTGCGGGAGGCGCCAGGCAGAAAACTTAGCCTGCCAGCAGTCCGCAGAGTTCTGAGCAGCGAGGTCTTTCCCTGCCCTCTGCTTGAAAGAACCCGAGCAGCAACCAGAAGGGATCTGTATCACAGCACCCTCGTGTAGGTGGAGAACTCTGGGCTTGCAACTGTCGAATAACTTGGTGCAGATCACAGGGAAGTGCTGGAGCCGAGTCCGCACCCAGTCGGCCTGACTCCAAAGCCGAGTTTTCCTGCCACCGCGAGTGCCTCGTGGCCCTACCCTGGTCTGTGGGCTGGGGCTTTCACTGGTCCAGGTGCAAAAAGGGCCCGCGGCCGGGGGCTCCTTCCCCGAGAGACCAGTGGGCAAGATGAGGCCTTTGCCCTCCTTTCTGTCCTCAGAGGACAATCACCTGGGTTTTCATAAGGGTTTCCATTCCCACCAGGGAGCTGGTCTCACGCACGAACTTTTCTAAATGACCTGCCGTCCCCCTTGACTCTTTGGGCTGATAGGTTAAATGCAAGAGTAAGTGAGAAAAGCAGGGCAAGAAAATACCCGTGTGCTATGATTATAATGACCTTAGACTAAAAAAGAAAAGAAAAACCATTAAAAGCAAAAGGGGGTAAAAACTCTCGTGCTAAAGGAGTTTTCTTTCTTTTTCCCAAGCTGTTTTGTGGTTATGATAAATACGTGTTTATAATCTACTGTATTTTAAAGTGCAGCGCCCCCCTGTGGAAAGCAGTGGTACTGTGGACAGGGCAGCCCCTGCTGCGGAGGAGGCCGGACCCTCTCTTGAGGCTAGGTTGCGTTTTCTTACCCCTTGCAGTCTGTATCTGAGGATGGCAGGACGCACAGCACTGGCTGAGGTCAGAGGAGTTTGCTATTCACTTGGTCTGCCGGCAAGGAGAAGCCTGCAGGTCTTTGCGACCTAGAGGTCCTTTCTCCCTGGTGGCTGTGACCTCGAGGGCTCACAGAGGGCGCACAGAGGGCTCACAGAGGGCTTGGCGGTGGAAGACTGTGTCTTTTCCCAGGTCATCCTCAGAACAACCACTACCTCCCAACAAAGGCCACCAAACACCTTTAAACACAAAATATTCTTTTATTTCGTCAACGAAGGCTACACGGGATCACTTCTGGTTTTGTTTTTATGCTTTTTTTTTTCTAGAAGGTATCTACATCTGCGTTTATTTACAGCCTTGTTGGTATTTACACAGTCAAGAATACAGTGTTAGAAACACAAAAGTGTTGAGAAAAAAACTTCTCAAAATTAGTTCCAGACTTCAGGAAAACTATTTGCACATGGTAAGGCCAGAGTCTCCAGTGCTGGTCATCCAGAGGCAGCACGGCATAGTCCTTTGCCAGAGCTGCAGGTTCAGAAGTCCTCAGAACAACAGGCAGACTTAGAAAAGGGAGGTTCTGGTGGTGGGTGAATCTGGGGCTGCTGGGGCACTGCCAGACACCTCCTGCTCAGCTTCCGCCCGGACAGCTGAGCCTGCCCGAGGGCCAAGTCCTCCACTGGCAGTTTACCCTCAGAAGAAATCACATTTTCTTGGGGACCAGAAGGTCCCCCAGTTTCATGCCTTTGGCATTTCAGAGGGGAAAGGAAACATGACCTAGGCCCCACCCAGGGCTCCCCGACCCTGATCTTTCACACCCCTAATGAAACCTCAGAGTGCACCACTAACGGGGCAGCCAAGGTCCCAAGCTGGTTTTTGAGAATGCAAAGGTTGGAGAGGATAAAGTTTCGGTCACCTGAGCAATGAGTCTTTAAAATGAGTTTGCTGTTTGGGAAGGTAAAATAAAAGGGCCTCGGACTACAGAGAAGTGTGCGACCCTAGCTGGGAACAATGTGCTTTACATGGAAGGCTTTAGTCCTAATGAGGGAAAGGAAAAGCTGGGTTCTTTCTGGGACCCGTCAGGAGCAGAGTCCCCGACCAGGACTAGGTGCCACCTCCTTCGCGTAGTGGCTGCTGTGAAGAAAGGAGAACAGACTGGACTTTGTGTGTCAGGTAGTCAAACAAACCCCCATGCCCGGGACCCTGCTGAGGGCCAGCAAGCTCCTTCCTCCTGGGCACCAAGCTCAGGGTCCCTGCTGTCGCCCCAGGGGCATCTGCCGACACAAAGCTGCCAATGGCCACACTAAGTTCTAAGATTTCACACTGAAAGCCTTGTCTATGCAGAATGGAAATCACTGCTGTCCAGAAAGGTGAGACTTAAAAGTCACAGCTGAAAAGGTCCTTTCTTCTTCTTCTTAAAAATTCTGACTCCTTTTTCTGTGTCTACAAAGCACTGCCCAGTGTACTCACCTTCCTCGCCTCAACCTCATCTTCTGCTTCCAGGCCCACCCTGCCCTAGTTATCCGGAAGCACGTCTCCTGGCCATTCTCAGCCTCTACTCAGTTTCTTAGGGACTGTTTCAAAACCCCCACCCCTAAGTAGAAGTCAGGCACCGGTGTGGACCTTGGTTACTTCTCGGCCAGCACTTCTGAAGCCAGTGTCAGAGGCTGTCAAAGGTTGGTATTTCATGGAGTCCCTCCCCTCCCTCCTGTTGTCACCATCCTGCCTTCAAACGATGTCTGTCTAGAGGCTGGGTAGAAGGAAATCTTATCACACAAAAGACAAAGTTGGGACCTAGTACTTGGGGGTTTGAGGCTAGACTGGGCTGGACCTGTCTCAAAAAAAAAAAACCCCAAAAAACCCCAAAACACAAAGTTGGGGAATCAATAAGGTCTTATTAAGGTAGTGGCAGAGAGGCTGCCTGGCAGTTGCAGGTGGTAGAGGAGAAGGCAGGAACTATTTCTAAAATAAACCTTCTAGGGTAGAAGCCAACTTTTTGCAGAATCAGGCACCTGGGCAGTGCAGGAGGTCTGACTTCACTGACTGGATGTTTGATTGATTAATGCCAAAAGGGCAGGTGCCAGCAAGGATGGGAGTTGATGTTCGGCGTGCACTACATAGGCACAGAGAACTCTGGTGTGTGCCTTCGGACTCATCCTTGCCATGAGATTGAGAACTGCTGGTCTCCGCAGGGGACAGATGGAGAGGGGAGGTCCTGAGTCACTTGCCAGCCTGCATGGGAAGCAGCTTCAAAGGGCCAAGGCCACAGCCTCTGTTCCATTTGACAGCACAGTGTAAAACGGAGAGACATGGTACTGCCCACCCCGCAGTTCCTCTCTAAAGCTCGGGGCTGCAGAAGCTGGGCACGCAGCCCAGGAAAGATTTATATAGGATTATTCCTTTAAATAAAGGAACACCTAATAATTCTCTGTGCTTTTGATCCTTAAAATGAGTCCACTGTATTCTTTCAGGGAAGGGGCAGTGGAGGAGGGACAGAGGAGCTGGGGGTATCCGGAGATGGCTCCCTTAAACCATATGTTGTCTCTGACCTCCAAGTAGACGTCCCCAGCTGAGGTGAGGCAGCCAAGATGGGACTGATGAACTAGGTCCACAGGTAGGAAAGTTTGCCCAAGGACCCTCATAGCAGGAGTGCATTTTGAGAGGCATAAATTTCTTTTGGATTAAAAAAGAAAAAAACAACTGAACTTGTGTTCTTCAGGCCAAACTGTTTTCCATTCCATCCAGGGAGGCGGTGCATGACATGTGCAGTGGGCCCGAGGAGCAGTGAATCTGACTCAGCAGAGCTCTGGATCCGGAGGCAACGGGCAACCAGCAGACAAACAGGCCACAGCACACTGTTGAGGCAGTGTGACTTTTTTTTGGAAACAGGAAGAGCACTTAGCGAAACACATCCTCTAATGATGTAGTAAGGCAAGATCTCCCCTCCCCGAGAGCTCTGAATACCTCCCCCTCTGCCAGGCAGAACCCGGACCGCATGTTGCTCTGATTCTCACGCAGTAAGAGACCTTCTTGGCTCCATTAACTTGTGTCACATTCTGAAGACTCTGTGAGTAAGGCTATAAAGGTGCCATGAGCTTATCAGTCCAACAAGATTTCCACGGGGAATAGCTCAGACTCAGAATTCATTTTCCACACTTAATGTAAATGTAACCCAGAAAGTCCCATTTTCTAAGAAGCCTAGCTCAAACGGAAGCGTTTGGCTTCCCCTCCTGTCTCCCAGAGCCTCCCGTGAGTGGTCCTAACAATGGTAATTAGGCAGATGAACCAGGAATGAGATCCTCAAACAAGGAGCTCCCAGCTCGTGCTGCTGCCCTCCTTTGCCCTCCTTGCTTCCCTGGTCTCCTGGCTGCTGCCTCCCCCGGGCAGCCTCCAGCCCTGGGCTGTACCTGCTCTTGAGAGGCCTCCAGCCTCTTCCTGATGATGCAGACACGGGTCTTCACAGGAACAGTGCTGGTCTGCCCTTCCCGTTCCATGGGCATTGGCCTCAGGACTGGCCCCGGATGGTAGTGGAGTTGTACACCACTGAAAGGCCAGGCCAAAGTAGCTCCTTTCTCTTTTTCTTTTAAAAAACCCAAAAAACCAAAACCCTGGTTGGGCTTCTCTAGAGGGGGAGTTGTTTTCTAGAGGAAGATCACAGAAGGGGTTTCCTGAAGGCCCAGGGGGCTGTTCCCCAGTTCTGGGATGAGCCTGCACAGGGAAGGCAGAGGCAACTCCAGGAGGTGGTTAGAAAGATGCTTGGCTCATGCCTTTGCTTACTCCTCTCTTTGGCTGACTTTTTTATTTTGTATCTTTCTAGGATCAAAGGCTACCAAACACCTCTTGCTATTCTTCTATTTCTCAGGGGCGGCAGCTGAGCAGTGGAGGGAAGGCACCCAAAGTCATGGGGAGGGGGCATCCTTCCCTTCCCCGGACTTGGTGCCCACACGGAGGGCTCGCTGTGCAGTGCTGGTTCTCACGTCTGGCTTTGGGAGAGAGGAGGAGATGAGTAAGGGACATTGTGGAGGATCAACCAATCACAGACATCCTGGGTGCTTTCACCTCTTGGAGAGGGTGGGGCTCGTAGCTCCAGGATGTTATGTCACCAGACTGGGGAAAGGATGCAGGGACAATTCCTCTATCCCAGAATGGGGATGGCACCGACAACTACACGAGATTTGCAAAAGGGAGGAGGGGTTTCATTTAGCATCAAAATATAAAGCTTGGACAGGAGTTTGGGGCAGTCTGGAAAGGTGCTGTGTGACATCATGACAATTTCCAGAGCAAGATGAAGCCATCTGTCATCCTCCAGAGGCACAGAACACAGTGAGTAAGCACCCATCACTCATCGTGGGGGCCTAGCCAAAGTTCCTGAGGTCCTACGGGCCTGTCACTCTCAGCACCCCTCACTCCGGCCTGACCCCAGTCAAAGAAGAAAGGGCTGCACATGAGACAAGTCAGCACAGACACTTGCGTCTCACATCACACTGGGTACCTGCGACGGGTGAAGACACATCCCAGGGGATTGTATCCCAAAGAGAAAAGTACCCCAAACAACAGGGAAAATTCCTTAAGGAAAAAAGGAACAAAAGACAGTAAAGTTTTCATTGTGATCACACTACAGAAAAAAAAATACCTTCTGTTCTTTGCAAAAAATGTGTGAAGGCCAAATCTGTGTTTTTCTTTTCTTAAAAAAAAAGAACGTTGCATGAATTAATGCAACCAGTGTCTTTTTGTTTTCTGCACTTATTAAAAAAGGTTTTTTGTTTTTGTTTTTGTTTTTTTTTAAGTACAACACAGTCAGGTATGCGGCCACAAAAGAGCAGCTGTCTTTGGCAAGAAGTCCCGGCCTTAGCCCTCTCTGTCACCTTCGGCCCATCTCGCTCTGTCTCAGGAAGTGGATGTTGTTGGCGCTGTCTGACAGTTCCGGGTACTGCTCGACGGAGACCACGAAGAAGCCATCGTAGCCTTGCACCCGCCCTGTGTTCAGCACCTGCTGCTTCTCCCCCTCTGTCCAGGCCCGCAGGCCCTCCTCCCCTTCCTGCAGTCTCTGCTGCTCTCGCGCCCAGGCCTGGCGCACAGCTCTCTGCCGGGCCAGCTCCAGCACCCGCGCCTTCTCCTCATCCAGCGTCGTCCCGTAGCGGGTGTTCAAGCACAGTGCCCCATACTGGAGCTGGATGTCTGTGTAGCGTCTAGTCCTGCCATTGAGCATGGTGTTGATCTGCGACACTGTCACATTGACCCCATTCTCTAGGGTTCGCTGACCCCCACTGAGGCCCAGGATGGCCAGGTCACCCTCTGAAGGCCCTGGTTTCACAAAGTAGTGTGTGTCTACCCCATTGATGGTGAAGTGCAGGTTCTCTAAGTAGTGGGCATTGTTCAGGATGGCAGCAACCCTCCGCCCATCCTCGTTGGCCATGCTGATGATGTCTGTGGTCACTCGACCATCCTTCAAGGCAAACTTGACCCCTTTGCCAAAGACTGAGCCGCTGGATGCAAACTTCCTTGTCTCTGGGGTCTGCTGGCAGCTGGTGACTGTGGAGCCGTAGAGCTGGTCAAAGCGTTCTAAGGTGACGAAAGCCTTGAGCTGTTTCTGCACTTCACATTGTACTCCAAGGATAGACTGATGGAAGAGGACAGTGAGAGAGACGGGGGGAGAAGGAGAGAGAGAGAGAACAAATCTTAAGAACCAGTTTAAACAACTAAGTCAAATCTGTTCCTACTGTTAAGCCATAGCATTGATCTGTATTGCTCACCACCAGCACATTCAGCTGTCCCCATCCATCCATCCATCCATCCATCTACCCTTCTCTCCAGAAACTGTTTAGGGAGCTTCTATTCTGGCCTGTCCTTTTCTGAGCAGTGCAGATGTAGAACTGAATCAGAGATCATCTTTGCCCATCCGGACAGCACAATGATAATTGCAATCACAATGTGATAACTGGTGATCTAAGAGAGCTACAGCTAACATTTATTGATCTTCAAGTTAAACAATTACCATTTATTGTCTCATTTGATCTTCACAGTAATTTCATGTGGTAAATAGTGTTATTCTGTTTTTCTTCCTAAGGCTACTAAGGCACAGAGAAATTGCAAGGAGCGCCTCTGCCCCACAGTGCTTCTTTGGGCTGCTCAGGCTACCCTACACTTGGCTGCTTGGGGAACAGGGTAGGCCCTCCTAGCCTGGCGTCCCATCTCCCTGATCTGCCTATGGCTCCAGGGACTCGGAGAAGCCACGATCAGATGGGCTCCAGGGCCTTATCAGCAACTCGGGGAAATGGCTTTAGAAACAGGCCCATCGCCTCCCACTGAAATTAAGTCTTCTTTATAATTAATAGAACCCTGTCTGTGAACAATTATTTCCTAGAGTTTCACGAATGCTGGAGTGCTCAACAACAAAGATCTCCGATGCTTGCCAAGGGCAGAAATCAATAATTCATTGACAGGAGAGGTTGGCAAACAGGCAGTCAGAGACAGGGACTCCGAGGAGTGCAGAAGGGAACCTGGCTGGGGAGAAAAGAGCTGTACTGCTGCCATCAGCCTGGGAACAGCAGATGCTGGGGCATCCGGGGCAGGGCCTGGGGTGGTGGGGACAGGAGAGGATGGCGGCAGAAAGAGGACTGGCTCAAGGCCAGGCAGGTCTGGGTTCTCACTGCTTTCTGCCACCTCCCATTGAGTGTCCTGGGTTAAGTTTTCCTCTGAACCTTGGTCTCCATATCTGTAAGTGGGCTGTTTACTTCTTCAACTGACAAAAGTTTTCCGTGTGCCTATGAGGTGGTAGGTAGCCAGGATGCTGGATACTTAAGGAGACTTAAAGTGTTGTGGCTCAGAGTCTGGTGGAGGGACAAGAAAGAAAACAGGAATTAGGATATAATGTGTGGGGTGCTTTGCAAGAGGAAAATATAAAGTGCCACCTAAACACAGAGGTGCAGACCTGCATTCTTGAGTCTAAGGGAAGGAGACAGCGGAGACGAGGCCTGAAGGAATAAGCTTGGAATAAAATAGGGATGTGAAAATTTCCAAGCAGCTCCAAGCTACTGTAGGGCAACCCTGCTTTCCCCTATCGTCCCCCGGGCTGGGATCCCCTGGAAGGCCTGGGCTTTGCCTGGTTCATCCCTGCATTAAGTGGGAAGAGCCCAAGGCTGGGAACAGAGTTCGCAACCAGTGGAGAATGTATGAATGGTGGGGTTGGGGGTTGAGCAAATGAATGCATGAAGTGAGGGGTGGGATGAGACTGTTTTAAAGGCTCTTTATGGATATATAATCTGAGCTTTTGAAACTGGTTATAAAAGGAAGAGAAGAGAAAGGAATGTTTTGTGAACACCTATAGTATGCCAGGCCCTGTACTCAGCAAGGTGATGCAGAACAGTCAGATCTGGGATTAGATTTCAGCTCTAGCCCGCCTTGCTGTGTGATATCGGGAAGCCTCAGGCATTAAATCTGCAAGATAAGGACAAGCACACCATGGGATATTTGTGAGTTAATTTATGCAGAATACCTCAGCCAAGGCCGGGTGCATCAGGTACTTAGAAAATGTCACAACTGTATTTAGAACGGGTCCTCTCTCCCTGCACTTTTGCTTAGACAGTGACAAAGGCTTAGTATTTCTGTAGAACTCCAAACTCAGTGTGGCACACAATACTTTTTCGTGCTGCCTCAGTGGGGACCCCATGGCCTGCCTGGTGATGGAATTGCTGTTTGCTGAATGTACTAGGCAGGCACCGTGGAGACATTGCCTTGGTTTCCATCACTGGTTGGAGCTTTCCTGCAAAGCTGGAGGAAAACCTTCTTGCCACATGTGAAAGGGCTAAGGTGTAGGCTGCCACGTGCAGGAGTTACCTTGCTGTTGTCCCATTCCTGAGTTTTCATCTGTGTGTGCATGAGCTCGTAGGATGGTTCCATGGCGTCCATGTCTGGTTTGGGGTAGCCAGGGATCACGTTGTGCAACTGGAATCCAAATGTGAGCAGCCAGCTGTTGACATCTGGGTGGGAGAGAAGCAGAAACATCCCCATGGAGTAGGTGGACTCTCACTTTTGCCTCACCCCAATCAAGCAGCCCCAAGAGGCTGCAGTGGGGGTGTGAGTGTGGGTGTGGGTGTGGAGAACTGCTGATGGGAAAGCTACTGCTACAAAAATGTTAGAGAACAGTCTCACGGTCTTAGAGCCAAACGTGCTCCTGTGACCCAGCAAGCCTCCTCCCAGGTATGTTCCCAGGAGATGAAACTGAGGTCGAGCCTAGGTTTCCAGCCTTCCCTTTCTACTCTCGCTCCCAGCCCTGGGGTCTTTAGCTTTGCACCCAGGGGCAGCTGTTGATGAAGATCCCCCACCTCCACTTCCGCCATCAACAGGAAAATGCAAAAAGGATAGCTAGACCCAAAGGGGATAATTTCTTTTAATTAATGAAGTTTATTGGCACATTTTTGGTATACATAATGATCACACTCATTATAGGAAATCTGTCTCTGTACATGTATAACTTGATTCTTTTTTCCCCTCATTCCCCCCACCCTCCTTTCAATCCCTCTTCCCAAAGGGAAGCATTGAATACCTGATTTGCAAAGGGAAAATTCCAGAAAGAAACAAACTGCTCCTCCTCTTCTCACTCTCAGCAGGAATTAGAGGCTTAAGCCCAGAGGGCCACTGGGCATGGAGAAGGGAGGTACTAAATCAAAGAGTTCTCCCCTGCTCCTCCTGCCTTTCATTTCCTCTGAATGAGCTGAAGGAAGTCACTCGACCTTCCCGTGCTCTCATTTTCCAGGCTGCACCCTGGGCTTGAGGATCACAGGCCCGGGATTAGGACAGCACACAACATTCTTTGGAGGGCCTACTTATACACTACCAGAGGTAGGCAGAGACAGGTTTTGCCATGAGCATTGGGTTCACTGATGCATAGAATCAGGAACCGCAGACCTGAGGGAGGAAAGAGGGTGGAGGGTGTATTGCTAGGTACCTGGCCCCTGTGGTGGGGACAAGAATGGTGCAGATAACTTCTAAACAGGGAAAAAGATCAGAGAAGGGCGGAAATCTTTCCGCTGGACAGGCTAACAAGTTCACATAGAGAAGACAGCACAGAAGGCAGACATCAAAAGCTATGTAAAGTTTGTCAGGTATCAATGCGAGGGAGGCACTTCTGGCAGGCTGCATGAGAGGAGCTCAGAAAGCTTGAGGAAGAACCAGAAAGGACAAGGCTTGGACAGGAAATGACCGGGAGAGACCAGCATCCTGTATCCTAGGATGGCTCAGCCTTCACTGGGAAGGGTCAGCTAAAGACACCAGTGTAGTTGTTGACCAGAGACTCAGAATCCAAAGTCCTTGGGAAGAAAGATTTTGAGCAGAGCCTCAAGGCTCCCCCCATTTTGGCTTCTTTCCAGTGGAGAGATCCCCTTGTCAAGAGGTCCTGTTTAAGGTCTTGTGGAGAACTGCTCTCCCTCCGCACTTGCTGATCTCATCCCAGGGTGGGAGCGACCTGCGGGAGCACCGGCTATGTCCTGCCTGTCTCTTCCATTTGAGGACCTCATGTTTGCCTTGCTTTTGTTTCCAGCTGTCCCCAGACCCCTCTGCTGGCTGTGAAACCTGGAGAACCAGAGTTGGAGTGAGGGGAGGAAAGGACACTGCAAACATGTAAAAAAAAAAAAAACAAAATCCAGGTGCTACTTCTCAGTTCAGCCGTATGCAGCAGGCTCGTAGAAGGAAGACAGCATGGTCGCTAAGGCCAGACCAACCAGGTCCAAATTTTGACCCCCAGCTTACAAACGGTGTGAACATGGGTAATTTAACTTAATTTCTCTGAAGTTTTGTTTCTTTGTGTATGAACAACAGACACGGTTTTAACCAAGTTAGTGAAGAATACCAATAGTATTATCATTCAGGGGCAGTTATCATGTAGCAGGAGCTATTCCAAGTTTGTACATAAATTACTACATTTAATATATTTGAAGTGTCCGGCCCAGTTCCTGTTCTCCATTGCCTCCACATCTTGGGACCTCTAATTTCGCAGTGGAGGAAAGGCTTAGACCAACCTTCCTCCAGAGTCTCTGTTCTCATTGAATTTCTAAGAGATTCGGAGTCTATGACTCTTGGTAGATGGTTCTCTGGGAAATTAAAACAAACAGAGCAGGGGAAAATGGCTTACAAAGCCATTTTGCTAGAGGCTGAGAACTTGCATCTGAATTTGTAGTTGCAAAGAAAGCTTCTATGTGGAATATTGTAAATTCTCAGAAAAGCAGGGATCTGAAAGGAGGGCTGGACCTTAATTATGAGTGATAGAAGGTGGGAAACTTCCTTCTTCTGCCTTTTGGAAAAATGCTGAAGATGTGTTTACTCATTGGTGTTCCTACAGGGCTTTTCGGAAGAGTTGGGAGTCACAGTTTTCTTAAATCAGAGGTACACATTTCCCTCCCATTAAAAAGCTTCTCTTTATCCATGGTCCCAGAGTAATAAAATGCAAGCAATAATACTCCCTTCCATGTGTGCCCAGCTTTGTTGTTTACAAAGTGTATCCTGATCCAAACACAAAGGCTTTGGAGAAACAGCAGAATCCTAATGCCAGTCTTGCCTCTTCTTAGCGGGGCCAGTTACTTTCCCTGACTTCACTTTTTGCCTTTGTAATGGGTCTTGCATTCCCCACCTCAGAGGCTGCAGGAGAAGACTAAGTGTGTACATATTTTTGTGCTAGGCATTCTTTGGTGGCCTTCCCAATACCCTATTCTGACTTCTCTTCCTTTTCTGGGGTCTTCACTTAGTTTTAAGGATGCTGACTTAGTTATGGATCCAGGCTAAGCCAATCACTGCGTTCAGTCTCCCCAGCCCAAGTGACTGTTCCGACCCAGTTGGGGTACATCTCAGGACTCCTGAAGACATTTTTGGAAAAAATACACTCTTTTTTTGTTGTTGCTGCTGTATGTGAGTGTGGATCCAGGTAGCACACATGGAAGATAAAAGGTAAAGTTTGCTGAGAGTTAGTAGTACCTTGGTTTCTTATTAGTGATTGCAAATCTTTCCCAATCTGCTGAAAGCCTGATTGTTTATGTAACATCTCACTTTCGTACTTGACAGTTTTTCCAACTGTGGGAAACTACTCACTATGTAGTGAAATTAATTTTGTGGCTCACGGTAAACACTTTCATTTAAATGGCAGAGATTAGAGTAGAAAATATGAGCACGTCACACTTAAGGACTGCTGTGCAAACCTTTGGTTTTGGTGTTTTACTGGAGAGGGAGAGACATCTGAGGAAAAGCAGCCACAGGCACATGCTCCCTGAAGGCAGCATCCAAGCCTGACTCCCCTCTGGATCTTTAGCACAGGTCTGGCACAGAGTGTGTACAAATAATGTGACACTTGCTGGATTTACCTGACTGGAAAAACAAAACCCACAGTGAAAATGCCCTTGCCTATGGGTTGCTTTGCTAAAGATGGGATTTGGAGACCAGTGTGATTGACTTGGGAAAATGTACTGGAGTCAGAGAGCACTGCTCTGTGCTCTCCGGGCAGACCCTTTGCTGTTGGTGCCTCAGAGGTCTCATCTGTAGATGGAGATACTCAGGGTGTTCTCACAGGGTTGCCGCCAAGTTTAAAAGAGACCATATTTGCAAGTGCCTGGCACTGAGCAGTCGGTCATGTTATTGCTCTTCTGGAAGAGATCATGTACATATGGTGATGTACACAGAAAAAGGGGTGAGGGAGTAGCAATATTTTGGCGAATTGCAAGTTTTTTTTGATGGAAAAGTACATTTCTTATTGCACCATTTTTTTTCTGGCTCTGGTAACCCGCCAAGCTGTCTCACGGGAAACTGTGAGGAAAGGCAGGGGGTGTGCTTAATGCAGACAGATGTAATGGAAATGTCATCTCAGTCTGTCACGTTTCTCTAGTGCTAGCAGCCAGGTTGAACATGGTGAATGCTGGGAACACGGTCAGGATATTTGTGTTGATCCCTAGGCCGCAAGTATGTTTTCATCACACCTGTGCACCACCTTTTTCTCCTTGTCTCCATGCTTGGGACTCCTGCTGTCAACATAATAACATGGAATTCTTCCCTGAAAAAGCAATGTTCTTACTGCTGTCAGCAGAAACAAAGTCCAGTTGAGGCCACTAAATCCAGGGGGCAGGAAGCCATGTCTATCAGGGGCACTCACATGAGCCCTCCGTGATGCCCTCCGTTCTTTGCACATGCTGTTCCTGCTTGTCCTCATTACCTAATAAGCACCTGCTCAGAAACTGGTGTCATTCAGGTCAGTGGCACTGGAAGCCTTCCCAGGACTCCCTGGGGAGAGTGGTTGCTGCTCCTCTGTGCCTCAGAAGCCACCTCTGCAAACCCACATTGTGTCACACTGGACAGCAAGCATCTGTCTCCCCTCTCACAGCATGGGTTCTTGGGGCTGGGGGTGAATGGAGGCTGATGGGATTTTTATCCCTAGTGCCTAAAACAGTGGCTGCACATAGGTAGCACTTGTGGAAGGAAGGAAACTTTCAAAAAAGAGGGAGGAAGAAAACTGTGCCCCAGGAGAGAAGTCCTGGAGACTACTGGGAATGCAAGCTGGGATATGCCCAATGTTTGCCCAGTAGAAGTTGTGTTATATAAAGCATCTGGCTTCGTCCAGACATCACAGCTACTCCCACTGAGGCGTTCCTCTGTAACTAACCTGGGAATGGTTACTGGGAGAACTGTGGCTGCTGGCGACGTCTCTGCCTACAAGGACTTAGGGCATACTTTATATGCAAGTTGGTTTCACAGCGGCACAAGGCAGGGCTCACTTTTAAAATCAGAGGGCAAAGCAAAGAGTATCAACATGAATCAGGCACTGTGCTGAAATGTATCATATTTCACCCTTGTGACCAGGTTGTAGGTAGGTATTGGTTTTTTATTTGTTCTGTGTGTTCTTTTTTGTTCCCTTCTCTTCCTGCCATCTTTGGACTTTTCCTTACTCTACTTGTTTATCTCCTGGCTCCTACTACTGACTTATTAGCCTCTACTACTGCTTCTATTTTAGTTTTTATTTTTTTAAATGGTTGTTTTAGTTTTTTTTTTAGTTTTTTTTTCCGGTACCGGGAATCGAACTCACGACCTTGCGCTTGCCAGACAGGCGCTGTGCCACTGAGCTAAATCCCCAGCCACTAAATGGTTGTTTTAAGGTTTCTCATATGCATACTTACCTAATTAGAATCAGGGTCTGTATTCTAATTTGAATTTACAGACTAGGAAACTGAAATTCAAAGTGGTTAAGTAATTTTTGTAACAGATCACAGCCTAGAAATGGTGAATCCTTCACTCAGCTGTCTGTCTCCAGGGTCTGAATTTTCCATTTCATCATCAGAAATTGAAAGCTGATTTTTTCTTTTAGCTACACCTTAACCCAACTTATTGTGGACTCCGAGCCAGCTTGATTTCTATGTCAGAAACCCCCAAAGTGCATTCCAAGGGATCTATTCAATAAAATATTAGAATTTCATGGTGAAAAAAGGGCTTTCATGGTCAAATACATTTGAGAAATAGTGGATAAATACATTAAACAGTTCCAAACTGACATGTAGTATGATAATTTAAAAATGGTGGTGGCTGGCCCTATCAAATTTATTTGATGCCAGAATCATCATTTCCAGAAAACTCTCTGAACTAATGTTTCTTTAAATATACTTTTGAAAATGATGCTCTCAGCAAAAGTATTTCCTGTCATCCCACACTAGCTTTCTCAAGGAAGATGAAGTCTTATCAGGTGACCAGAGCAATCCAGGGGGTCCGGCCTCCTGGGTGAGGCCTGGTCCTTACCTGTCATGAAGCACTTGATGTCCTGAGAGTTGCTGATGGGGTTATTGTTCTTAAACATGTAGAGATTAAAAGGCATAATGCTGTTGCTACTAAGGTGCTTCCACAGCTCGTGATCTGGGCTAGTCCAGCGTCCAGCCATCACATCATAGTCCCGTCGGCCCATGTGGACGAGCTTGGTGAGTGGGTCATAGAGGCCACCATGGTAGCCGATGATGATCTGGAAGTTGGGGTTGGTGTCCATGTAAATCTCCCCATAAGCCGTGTATAGGATCTGCTTGATCATCAAGCCCGTTCCACTGAAGACAGCGAGAGGGGTTCCAATGTTGTCACAAGCTATGTAAAACTCATCACCACTGCTCAGCTCCATGGCAAAGAGGTGCCCTTGCAGGTCATAGTAGAGGGACGTGATCTCAGAGCTGGAGTGATTGTAGAGGTGGGTGACCTTGGTGGGGTTGGTCAGATCTGCATAGAAGAACTGTAAGTGGTGGCTGTGGCTGCTCTTGCTGGACACCCGCCGCCCTAGGCCGTCATAGCGGTACCGGACACTCCAGCCGCCAGCCCGGTTGTAGGCCTTGATGAGCAGACCTGCTGAGTTGTACTCGAAGACATCCCCACCCCGCTGCCTCAGGAAGCCATCCTCATCCATTTTGTACTGCACATCACCTAGCCTAGTGATGCGGTCACGGATGTCATAGCGGAGTGGGGTGAGCCGTGCACTGTTCCCAGGGCTCAGTAAGTGCAGGTTCCCATTGAGGTCATAGCTGTAGCGCCAGAGTGGCTTGTCATTGATGGAGACTGTCTGGAGCTGGCCATCAGCATCGTACTCATAGGAGTAGCGGGTGGTGTTGGCATAGGGTCCCACCTTCAGCTCTTTTTTCACTACCCGCCCCATGTTGTCATACTGTACGGTCATCCAGTACATGAGCGAGCGGAAAATCTCATACTGCACTTCCTTCATCCTGCCGTATGCGTCGAAGTGCTTGGTGTGGGTCATGACGGCTGTGGTAATGATCTGGTTAATGTCATAGTAGATGACACCAAATTTCCCAAACTGCTCAGTCTTGCCTGATACATCGTCATAGCGGTAGAGATCGATAGGTAGCGGGGTCTCATTGATCACAGCCTGCATGCTGGTCACCCGGAAACTGTTGTCATAATTGTAATCAAAACGGGCATTGACCATGCCTTCCTCGGTAAAGCGGAAGATCTGTCGGTCAATCAAGGGCCCAATCTGACGGTAGCGGATGGTGCAGGTGAAGCCTTCATTCTGCAGGTTGACAGTCTTCAGCATGCCTGCTGTCTCATCGTAGGTAAAGCTCACCTTGGTGGTGTCGTACAGCATCTCAGCCAGCTTGGATAGCTTGCCGTATTTATAAATTACCCTGCGGCCAGTGCCCAAATAGAAGGTGTGGAGCAGGTGGCCATCCTCTGTGAAGTCCTGTATGACCGAGGCATTGCCCTCAGGCGGCTGATAGATGTTCCTGTAGTAGCCCACAGAACGAATGGTCTCTAGCGTCTGCCGGGCCACATTGGGCATTGTCACAGAGGAGAGGCGGTCGTTCTTGTCAAATTCAAAGATGTACTGCCTCTGGCTGTGGAGGAGCAGCACCATGGACTGGAGGAGGAAGAAAACCAAGAGATGAGAGTTTAGTGAGGAGAGGGGAGGTCTGACTATCAAAGACTTAAAGAGACACAAGTCCAAGGAAAGTGGTGGTTCACCTAAATTATACCCAACCACAGCTTCCCAGCCCATGTGCCATAGGATCCTGCAAAAGGGCACGGATGTGTATTGAGAGAGTTTCCTCTCAGCCCTCAGCTCTGGCAGGGCTGTCTGCTTCCCTCTGTGAGCAGCTGTGTATTTCTGTGGTACAGGCCTGCTCTCTTCTCGTGCGATGGGGTGTGAGGAAGGCTGGGAAGCATGGGCTGGAAGTATGTGCAACAGCCTCCCTACTGGTTTCCTCACTCCAAACGGACTTCTCAAGTCATTTTACTTAAGCCAATAGTTCCCCAGGATAGTCCCAGGAGGAGTGTGCTGTGATGGGAAGAGACAACCTGGTTTCTAACAACAAACTTATTGTGTAGCATCGGGGTAGTTCTTCCTCTCACTGGCTTGGGTTTTCAGAATGCTGGATGACCTCCAAGCTCTCTCTTTCTCTCTCAGCCCCACCTCAGACTCACCCCCTAACCTCCTAGTCAGGAAATGCTAACCACAGGGCAAGCAGAGCCTGGGCCCTGGAAAGCTGACCAGGGGTAGGAAACAAAGTGGGGGTCTGGGTATGAGAATGGGGGCAGGAATTTCAAACTTTTCCTCAGGAAAAGTAAGCAGATAACAGGTCTACCCATATCTAGACATCAAAGCTACTATTTTCTCCTATTTGGGTCCAATTTTTGGTTTGCAGTCCCCTCTGATTCCTAATCCCTGGGATGAAGGGGGTTCTGAAGCAGAGGGGATTTACCAAGGAAATGCCCAACACCAGAAGCTCAGGATTAAGCACTGCCTGCCTAATCCTGTCCCCAGGCCTCTGCTTCATTCTCTGTGATGGGACTGCACCATGTAGGCTGGACCTGGGAGTGGACTCTGCTCTGTTTTGTGAGTCCAGGAAGTCCTGGGGCTGCTCTGAGCTGTACCCTTTCAGTCAAGACTTTCCTATCTTCCTGTTCTAGGCCTCCTACATACCACAGTATCACCATGACTCATCCAGATGACTCTTGGGACACCCTCGGCCTTTGTGGTAGATTTTCCTGAACATTTCTTTTTGGAAAATGATTATCTTCATTTGAAGACCACATGGGTCAGATTTATTCCATGGAAATCAGCACCCTAGGCCTGGCCATGGGTTGAGGCACAACGACTGACATTTTATGTGGCAAGGACAGTCATAGAGGGAGGGAGACACTTGCTTTCTCTAAGTATGTGTAGGTCCATGTCTTCCCATCAGCAAAGATCCTGGATGTGATGCGACCGGCCTGGTCGTATTCCATTCTCTCAGACATGATGCCCCTCTGGATGCCGGCAATATGGCCCCCAGGGGAGTATGTAACGTTGACACCATTCAGTCTACTACTGGGTGACCAGAGGCTGGGCCTCCCTGCCTGATCATAGAGGATCCGAAGGGTGAACTTGCGGTGGTCATCATAGATCTTCTCTGTGCGTGTCACACGGTCAAAGTCCAGAGACAGGAGGTTTCGGTTGTGAACCTGGAGCAAGGGCAGGAACACAGAGAGAGTTAACCTGAGAGAATTGAGCTGGATGTTGACAGCCTTGCTCTGATGACCAGTCAGCTGTGCTGAGATGCTCCTGAGTAGAAGGGGCAAGCACAAGTCCTGGGCGTCAACACACATGGGTTTGACTCCTGGCTCTGTCACTTGTCAGCTCTTTGACATTCCCCATCTGTAAAATGAAATGATAATGCCAACTGCCTGGGACTGCTGTGAGATGAAGGTAATGCAGATGTTGAACAGATAGTAGCTGTGACTGAAGAGGATCCGCATGATTTTCTAACGCAAGTTCTTCAGTGTGGAATATGACGAAAGGCACATCTCTCCTGGCTCCTTTATAAAAACAGAGCCATCAAATAAATCCCTGAACCATACACTCAGTGTCAGACATGGTTCTGTGTTTGACTCCAAGGAGACCAAAGCTCAGGGACGGGATGGCATTTGCTGCTGGTCTTATGACTGGTGAAAAACTGAGCCTGGACTTGACTTTGACCCTTGCAACTTGCTGGCAGATACTCACTGGTTCTTTGAGCAAGTCCTAGCTTTTGGGGCTCTCCTGCCCTTGCTTCTCCACCTCAGCCAGCCTCCAAGATATCTCTTCCTGAAGACCCTGGGAGGTAGTGGCTGTTAGCTAGGGACAGCTGTAGCTCTGGTCATCTTGGTTCCTGCCTCTGGGATCAGAAGCACCTAATATAGTCTCCACTTGGAGCCCTGGGGCAGCACACAATTCAGTTTCCATTCAGAGACTGAAACACAGGCTCCCACAGAAGATAGAGATCTTGTATTTTAATAAAGAAATATACTTTGTGGGCCTGTTTCTCTATTTGCATCTGGCCCTTAGGCACTGGCTGCCCAGAAACCCTGCCAGGTGCTCTGACGCTAAAATGCTGGCTGCCTCTAATAGCTCTCTGGCCTTCTGGGGCACCTGGGTACATTTTCTGTCTTTTCCACTAGTCACTGGTGAAGTCTGACAAGTAGGCAGAGCCAAGAGAAAAGCAAGTAATTAGGTCACATGATGTGAAATGGCATGTGTATCCTGAGGTAATGAAAGGCTCTCTGGGGCTCTATGTCATTAAAAAAATAAAAAGGCAGGGGAAATAGGTCTAGGAATGAAGGCCAGAATACATTCTTAGGTTTGTGTACAGCTTTTCTGTGGGAGCTACAGGGAGTGTCTTCCCTTCTCTGAGTCTTAGTTGTTTCCCCTGTACAGCCACAGAGTGGCTGTGGGGATTGGAAAAATTTAAGCAAGAGTGCTAGGCACATAGAAGGTTCTGGATAAATGGTTACAATTATCTCCACTAAATGACAGCAAGTGATCTTGGTCAGTCTTGAAGGACAAATTTGCGTGTCCCCCCTGCCATCTCCCCACACAAAGTCTAAGGCCTTGAAAATAAGGATTTATAGTGACAATGCTGAGACGGCTTTAGCTGTGAATGGCCTGGTTATAATAAGGTTGCTTTCCCTGGGGTAATCAAACACAACTGCAGAAGCAAAAACAGTGTGGCGGTGTGTAAAATCAGAGGTGTTGGAGGCTGAAGCTCTCTCTGTTCTTTGCAGAGGATGCAAAGGAAGACATGGGCTGTACTGTTAACAATGGCAGGGGTCTTTCTCAAGCATCTTTTGGAAGGTCACCTATGGCACCCTCCATGGGTGCCACCCAGACCGCTGGCCCTCTCCCCCCCTGTAGGACCTTAGTGAAGGTGAGCTGCACCTCTGTGGCAAAATTAATAAAATTGAATTAAGCAGCTCACTGGGGAGCCACCTAACGCTTCTTATGCTCTGCAGTAGTGGCAATGAGATTATTTTACATCTTTCTTTATTAAAAAAGTTCCCAGTCATATAAAAAATGAACTCCATTATGGGGAGGCACACCCGGCTAACATTCTAATTCCACATGCTGCCACTGTGGGTGGCCATTTATTTTAGGAGGAAGCAGAGATGTGGCCACCCGACTAAGGCATCATCAATCTCAGACTGGGAAAGGGACCAATTAAAGCCCGGGAAACTTTTGGTCCAGTTCACACAGCAGAGAGAAAATCCTGATAGTACTAATTGCTGCTCTTTATTGAGCACCTGGGAGCTGCAGCGCTGGGTGAGGTGCTCAGAATATATTACCCTGTTCTACACAGGAACCAGAGCAGTTGCTCAAGGCTATGTACGTGGCCAGCAGGAATCCAACCTAGGTCAAACCTCCCACTTAGCATACTGCTTCAGATGTGCAGGAAGGGGTCTTTGAGAATTCAGATCAAGTCTCAGGGAGGCCACAGATGGTGGCAGGCCACAGAGAACAAAGATAGCTCAGCCTTCCTCAGGGAACTAGTGGAGAGCCGCTTCCCACATTAGGGAGTTACAGTGTTCCTGGCTGAGTTCTTAGGTCTTGAGGGAACAAAGGAAGCCTGATTTTCTGGGTTCTAGTTCTTGCTATTGGGTAAGTCACCAAACATTTCTGTAATGGTTGTGGGCCTGTTTCTTAGCCTTTATTCCATCTAGTTATATGACTTTGGAAAATTGCTTACCTTCTCTGGACCCTGGTTGTCCCAGGTGTAAAACAGGAGCTTATAAGAACTTTGCCCAGTGAAGGGCAGGGAATACAGAGCGCCCAAGCTCTGTTGCTACGAGATTGCTTCTGTGGGTTCAGAATGCAGTGAGCACCTAGCTCAGTTCTATGGTTCATTTCAGCTCAGCAAATATTTACTGAGCACCCATGGGCTATACGGTGACAGGGAGAAATCCACGCTTAGTTTGCTCTGCCTGTCCCCTCTTTCTGGAGCTGGAAGGAAAAGCTGCTGGGTACTAAGGCCCGCGCTGAGACACTCCATAGACATGTGGTAGGTAGGCAGAGAAAGCCTGTCTCAGGGTGTCCTCCTCTTAGAAAGTGCTCTGGAATGCCAGACCATTAGGCCAGCCCCTGGCAATGACAGGTATGGGAAGGTCACCTTGCTATTCAGAAGGGGTCACTCTATCTGGAAAGCATACAGAGTGTGGCTTAGGTTCCAAATAGCTAAAATGAATTTTGGGACATATTAGCAATAGTAACAACAATAAGAACAATGACACCAAGAGTAGCTGTTATTGACCACTTGCTGTATGCTAGAATCTGTATGAGACACTTTTTATATGTTACTTCTAGTCTTTGTGGCAGCTTGTAAAATTGGTTTTATCTTCCCCATTTTATGGAGAATGAATTTGAGACTCTAAGATGACTCACCCAAATTCCCTCAGGGAATAATATCTGCTAGAAATTCACCCCAGACCTAACAGTCATGACAGTGATCTCTCCACAAGTCTAAATTGGAAATATATGTTAAGAGCCTCTTCTTACATGTGGTTCCCTGCTTTAGTTCCCCCACGTTTGCAGATGAGGAAACTGTGGTGCCAGGGAGTTTCAAGAACAGAACCCAGCGCTCCAGATTTCCTTCATTCTCCTCCCGCAGGCTGCCATCATTACGGCCCCTACATCCTTCCTCACCCTCAGCCGGCGCCCAAAGACGGTGACCTGGCCACGAGCCTGCTCCTTGCGCTGCCGCCACTCCACCAGGTTGAGGCCGTTGTCGATGGGCAGCGTAACATTCCTCTTGCCCACAGTGGGGTTAACTGTGCCGGCCAACAGGTGGGGCTCGGTCTGCAGTGCCACCTCCATGCCATTGGCCAACAGCAGCCTCAGGGAGCCATCGGCACCAATGTAGTAGCTGTTCCGGACTTGGTCTGGGGGCGAGGCAAGCACAGGATGGTGTAAGCGGATGGGGATCTGAACAATTTCTCCCTAATTCATTATCACTAAAGAAAACTGGGAAAATATTTGGAGAACATAACCCATAATCTCAATACTTAAAGAAAACTATTAGAAATATTTTGTATATTTGTAGATTTTAGGGTATTTCCTAATGTACTTATAGTTTCAAATATGTAGTTGTTTATGGAAATTTTCACTGATCACTGTATTAGATCACGTTAGCGAACATTTTTCATAAACATTTTCTTAATGGCTGTGTAGTATTTCATTATATGGAAATAATATATATCAAGAATAATCAAACAGGTACTTAATTTGTTTCCAGTTTTCCACCATTATAATACTGCAAATATATTTTAAATATTATAATAAGTGTAAGAAGTTAGACACAAAAGGCTGCACATTGTATGAGTCCATTTATATAAAATGTCCAGCATAGGTAAATCCACAGAGAATAGATGGATTAGTCATTGCCAGGAGATTCATAGGGGATAATGAGGGGTGATTGCTAACGGGTGTAGAGTTTCTTTTCCATTTGATAAAAATGTTCTAGAATTAGATAATAGTGGTGGTTGCCCAACTTTGTAAATTCAATAAAAGCTATTGAACTGTACACTTTCAAAGGGTAAATCTCATCATATATGCATTTCAATAAAATTTTGCTTCATATAAACCAGTGTCTTCATTTCAGTTTAATCAAAACGGATTCTTAACAAGTAGGATTAATAGAGCAGAGGGTTGGACATTTTTAAAGCTCTTGGCATATTAATGGGATTCTTTATAAGAAGAACATATATACAAATATAGTATGTACAGGTACATACATAGATGTATGATTGTGGCTTTAAAAATAGATTGGATTAAAAAATTTATATCTGATTAGACCATTTTAATTTGGATCTTTAAAAGAAACTTCTGGAGAAAAAAGTAATTTTCAGCTGAAAAATGTATACTGAGTTCTCTTCTGAAAATGGAAACAGTATCTCTGGCCTTTCCTGCCTCCATTTGCCCTTCCCGGCTGTCTCCTCTGTCTTCAGTAGACATCAACCCAAGTCCTTCTGCCAGGGCTCTGCTCAAATGTCATCTCTTTCCCGAAGCCCTCCGCTCCTCCGGTCAGAATGAACACCACCCCTACCCCCCACTGTCCAGGCCCTCTGTGGGCCTCATCAGTGGTCTTCAGCTGAGGCGTGCAGAGCTCATGGCTCTGTCAGTGAACTCATTCTCCAGTGTCTAAGCACTTGCTGGGAGAGGCCCCACCACACACAGACTAAGGGCATGGACTTGGGTTCCAGCTCTGCCACTGTCCTCCCATGTGACCTTGCTCACATTCATGGCCTGGCACACCTCTGTTGCTTCACTGTACATTGGGGAAACTCACTGTGCCCTTGTCTGATGCTCTGAGGATGGCATGAGATGAATGGGAATTGCTGAGAACAGTATTGGTCGATGGTATTATATAAATGTTGGTTATTACTAGTTTGATGTGTGTGATACTGCTAGGCTCTGTTTCATTATCTCTGCTGTGTCTCTACTATCCCACTTTGTACACCTGCCACGGAGACTTTTCCTAGTACTGTTTACAGTTCTTCAATAGCTTCCCATTACCTTCCATGTCTCATCTGTGGTCCAGAGAATGGGTTCTGGAGCCAGCTTATATGGGTCCAAATAAACTTTTAGGTGTGTGACTTGGGTCAAGCTGCTTAACTGCTCATTCCGTTCATTTGGAAAATAGAGGTATTAGTAATACTGACCTGATAGGCCTGTTGTGAAGATTAAATAAGGCTGAAATGTCAAATGCTAAAAATACAGTTTGAGGTTAGCAAGTGCTCCAAAAATGTTGACTATCATTATTGTTATATTTTTGTGAACTTCGTAAATATTTGCAGGGTTAAACTGGATATGTCCTGAGCTATGTCAAGCCATAAGGATGCAGTTTGCAGGGGAATCCCTCTCCCAATCTTCCCTGCTAGGATGGCATCAAATTGCCCCCAACCCTGGCTTCATATTCCCACACTTTCCCCCTCACATACACGAATTCTAAAACCTGCCTCAAAGTTTCCGTGCATTATTCACTGACAATCTGTATTTTACTTGCTCTGAAGAATGAAAGTGCCTATGTCAATTTATCTTTTAATGCTGCTCCTTGCTGCATGCACATACGTCCATTACTGGTGAGTTTGGATGGACCAACATCTACAGAGGTTCGCCTCACATGATCCCCGTTCGGCACAGGCTGTGACTCTCCAAGGCTGCTTCTCATTAGCAGCTCCTTCTTATTACTTCCTGAAGTTCAGATATAAGATGAAACTGAAAACTTTTCACAAAGACTCTACTGAGGTGACCGCAAGGCCGAGCATCTGAGCCTTGTAGGTATCAAAAAAGAAAGGGATGTGGCAGAGTTGCCAACGGGGAAAACAAGTACTGTGCTTCTTGGATTCCAGGGTGCGCTTTTTCTTTTCACATATCAATGTTCCTAAAATTGGAATGTGTCCTATAATCCAGGAATGCATTTTGAGCAGTACCTAGTTTTTGCTTCCATGTAAAAACTTACTAAACTGATGGTATATTTTAAAATTGGGAAGTGCAGCACTGTTGAATTTTTAAAAGTTGCCCAAACTACATCAAAAGACTACATCAACCTTTGAGAACAATAACCCTGGTTTAGCATCTTGGAGTGGACAGATGAACAGTTCTTAACCACAGAGATGAAAACAGGCTCGAAGGACAGGACACGTGTCTAAGTGATCACGGGTGCTGCTGTCCTTGGTTAGGCAGAATCAGGGCTGGCTGGGAGCAGGTAGCGTCTCTTGGCAATAATCCTGTTGAGGGACGAATTCCTGGTAGCGGGAAGGATGACCCAACCCACCATTAAAGATGCTTGGTGGGGGAAGAAATTCCACAGTTTTGTTTCTCTTTCTTTGGGAAACACCACTGCTCCTTGAGCTCTCTAAAAGGCAAAGGACCATCTTTGGGAATAAAAAGCACAGGTGCAAATATGCATACAAACATTTTTTTTTTCTGGTACCAGGAATCGAACTCAGGACCTCATGCTTGCCAGGCAGAGGCTGCACCACTGAGCTAAATCTCTGGCCCAAAAACATTTATTTTCTTATGATAAGTCAAATGCTTTTTAGCGAATTAATTACTCAGTTAATCCAATAAGTACTTCCTGAGCAATACTCTGTGCCTGGTCCATGCTGACCTTTCTAATATTGTGTAAAGAGATCATCTGAGCAGTTCTCTGAGGTCCATTCAGAACCCCTGCTCTCTCTGCACTGCCTCACCCCACTTGACATGGCTTCAATTTGCTTTTTACTTTTCCTGAAGAAGAAAACTGAGGGCCCAATAGGGATATGGTAGCAGAGTCAGAACTAGAAATTGGGCCTCTGCCTCCCACCTCTGAGCTCCTTTTTACTCTTTTGTATCAAAGCTTTTGGGAAAAAGTTAGGCAGGGCTTTCCTTAGTGATGGCTTCTTCTTTTTTTCTTTCTCATGCTTACTAAGTCCAACAAAATCTTGGGTCAGCATATCTCATGAGAACAGTTGAGGCAGACAGCTCACAGAAAGATTCTACTGCTGTGATTTACCTGAAGCTAGAAGATCAATGTATATCAGCAAAGAGCTGATGGATGTAGAGAAGAGTCTCTTTTCTATGGAATCTTAGCAGGGGCATAAACCTTGTGTGGGGTTTAGGAAGGACTTCTCCGTGACCAAATCCCTTTCATAATTAGGTGTAATTATCCCTGTCCTTTCTTCTTGCCTGCACCAGTGTGAGCGTAAGTCTTTTAATCTGGGAGCCATTAGAATGGCAGAATAACGAGGTCACCTGGATTAGCAGCTAATGGATTCTTTCCTCTTTGTTCTGATGATAATGGGATGGGACAATGAAATACGGTTTCGAAGCTTCTGGGAGAGAATTTACAGGACTCTGGCTCATGTGATTGCAAATTAGGTGGTAATACAGAGAGAAACCAGTCATAATTCTTTCCTGTTTGTCATTGGCAGCTCCCATAGCAGTTTGTCTTTAGTGTCATCCTATTCCAAAGTGGTCTTCCCACCCTTATATCTCACTCCCGGGGCCATGCCTGGCTTACCTTGCAGTAGAGTATAGAAGGCACCTGACGCAGACAGGTTGGTAGTTATGGTGACATCATCCTTGCTGGAGGTCTCTACCTGGACATGAACGGAGCTGTCTGTGTCACTTCGGAAACTGCTCACTTGGCCAGTGGGGAAGGTCACATTTGTCAGGCGGCCAAAACTGTCGTACCTGGAAGCCAAAGGGCAAAACCAATGAACAGAAATACGACCATGCTGTAGTTGGAACCTGTTTTCTGCCTCTCACCACGGTTTTGCATGTTCTGCTTTCCTTTCTAGTCAGATATGTTCCCCTGCCACCTACATTCCTTGCTCAGCACACAGCACAGTTTTTTCAGGATCTGACACCACCTATTGATATGTGCAGGAAAATGATTTGCCTCTGTAAATTTTTTTTCTAATCCACAAAGTGGGAAAGATACTTCTGCCCTGTACATGACCCAGGATTACTGGGAGGAACATCTGCTTTATTCCAGAAAGTTCCTCTGTGTTGAGACTGAGAGTTCTAGGTCAGGACAGGTCTTGGGAGTCAGGTGATAATGGTGAGAATCTGGAGTCACAGCCCACATCCATTTAGAGACATGGTAAAGACCAAAAGAGGCAGCCTACTTAAATGAATGCAAACTTATGAGGGCCTTCAGGATCCCAGGAGACTGTCTTCCCTGGAATGGCAGCTCCCTGAGGAAAGGACTTCGATTGGTTACTGCTGTATCTCCAGAACTCAGAATTGCTGGGCACACACTAGATGCTCAGTGTGAATGAATGTTGGCTGCATGACCTGACTCCTTCCCACCTCTCTTAATGACTTCCCCTTGAGCTCCGATCTTCTGTATTTTTCTGCATCTGTTTCTATTCCCCAAACATGCCAAGCTCGATTCATGCCAGTACAGCAAACTAGGGGGTCTGGCTCTCAGTTCATGCTTGCTTCAGCACCAGTGGAAGTGGCATAGAGAAATCAGGCAGGGAATAAATGCAGGATTGAACATGCAAGGTCTCTTTCCTGCTCCTTAGGAGAGGAAAGATCATGGTGATTTGTATGCTACCTCCAACAGGACTTGCAGAGCTGGACACACAGTAGGTACATGATGAGCACCTACAGAATGCACAAGTGTGGAAGTAACTGCTCCCCCTAAATGGTACTCTAGCAATCTCCTCAGGCATCTCCCCAGAGTTTTAGTCTCCAAGACAGAATGAGGCTTTGTACCAAGGCAGACAATTGTAATTATTATTGAAGGTACCCTGTACTGCATAATTAAATTGAGCCTGAAGAAGATACAATGAAAAGGCCTCATGCCTTCGAGATCTGGTTTTCATTTTCTACAAGACAGCCAAAACCCAGTAATTTTCACTCCTCACATTTTCCATTAGAAGGACTGAATGTCTTAATTAAATGAATATCAAATAGAACAACCAATTTATAAAATTTTGTCTCCTATTCATTCATTTCTCTACCTTCCAGAGCTTGAGAAATGCCACTGGATCTCCCTGCTGCTAGATCAATACCTGTGATTATCCCATCGGAGCAGAAGTTCCGCCCCTTCTGGCTCTGTGTGGGAAGAACTGAGATGTCTGTTCCCTGGACTCTCTTTGCCTTGTGGGCCACCTCCTCAGAACCCTTTCTGCTCTGCACGGATCTGCTGAGAGCTGCTCCCCCAAAGTGCAGAGATCGGAAAGGGGCAGTTCTTTGCACTCCCTGGATTCCACATGGCTGCCTCAAGCCCCAGCCCTATGACTGGGTGACCTTTAGACAATGGCTTAGTTATGTCTGTCATGGCCTTAATTATAGGAACCCACAAAGCATTGGCAAATTTTCTTTTCTTTCTAACCATGAGAAATGGAAAGAACATTTGGTATGGGAAGGTCTTTGGAGCCAGTTGGTCTAGGCTGTGAATCCTGGCTCAATGCATGCCAGCAGTGTGATCGTCCAGGGTGGCTGCTCAGTTCTCTTTCCTCCTAACCTACAAGTGCCTCACCACAAATGATAGTATTTCAGGCAGGTTGCATAGCATAACCTCAGTGAGCCTGTTTCCTCTATAAATCTCATAGAGACACTATAAAGAACAAAAGAGACAGCCTATTTAAATGAATACAAACTTCTTGCTACAGCCTTCAGGGCCTCAGGAGACTGTTCTACCTGGAATGTCAGCTCCCCAAAGCAGAGACTGCAACTGGTTAGTGCTGTATCCCCAGAACTTACAATGCTGGGCGCACACTAGATGCTTAGTGTGGAATGTTGGCTGCATGACCTGACTCCTTCCCGCATCCTTAACGACTTCTCCTTGAGCTCTAATCTTCTGTATTTCTCTGCATCTGTTTCTTTGCCCCGACAAGTCAAGCTCAGTCTATGCTGGGGGATGCTCACACTCATTGTTCCCTTTGCAGGGCATGCTTTTCCCTGCAATGCCAATATGGCTAGCTCCTTTCATCATTCACAGCTCAGTTTAATGGCTACTACGTTGGTGAAGGCTTCCCTGATCATTTTTCTAAAACAGGTCCTGCCTTCTCTATGGCAGTATCTCGCTGCATTGTCTTCATTATAGTCACTATCCTGTTTCTTTGCTTAGTGTGGTCTATCTCCTCCTGTTACAATATAAGCTCAATGAGAACATAGGGACAGAGACCTTGTCTGCATCCTCAGTGCCTAAAGGAGTACCCAGCATAGAAAAGGTACTCAGTAATGTCCACTGAATGAATGAACATTTATAGAAGTAAATAGTAGGGTTTTTTTTTTGGTTGAATCCAGGGCCTCATGCACGCAAGACAAGTGCTCTATCACTGAGTTACACCCCCAGCCCTTTTGTTGATTTTTCAAGATATAATTGAGAGTAATTAATTCTATCTGTTTTATTTGCTGCAAACCCCCACACCCCGCTTGAGGCAGGGAACGCTAATATTCACAGAGTACCTGTCAGGCACCAACATCACGCACATAACCATTTTTTCGGAGGTAGGGATGATTACTGTCATTTTGCAATGGTGCTAATGAGGCTCAGAGAGGATAAGTAACTTGGCTAAAATTACACAGTTAGTAAAGAATACAGATTGAAAGTCAGGTCTGTCTGACCTTAGCGAATGTGTGTGTGTGTTTTTAAGCTTTCCATAAAAATGATAAGTGTTTCAAATCGGAGCATTTGTGTTCATCATTGTGTCCAATACAAAAAATTCTGTTTGGAAGCCTCCAGCGGGTCAAGAAGACTGCGGGTTTTCCCTTTGAAATGCTTTGTTTGGCTACTGCAGCAGTTGACGTTGTAGCAATGCCAAGCTCCCATTGCAGGGCAGTGGGGAGAGGAGAAAGACGGCCAGATGACTGGATATCCATTAGTTTCTTCGACTGGCATTTTTTTGCTCTATTTTTCCAAAGCATCTTTGGAGCACAGTGAAAGAAAACACATAAAAGATTCATATAGTTGCTGTGAGCTTGGCTCTCAGAAGAGGTCCGCTAAAGGGTATCTTCACACACACTGCAAGGCTTTCTTCTGCATGTTTGATACTCCATCCTGAACCACTTGCTATGCGCAGCTAGAGAGGAAAATGCCAAATTGCCTCTTTGATACTAAACTTTTGCTGATCTTAACTTTTTGGTTGGAAAGTAAAAACTGATTCTCACCTGTGCTTTTTCTAAACGACACCATCACCAACAAGGGAAGTGTATGTTATCATTTGTGAATAATTAGACCTCACAGTCCGTGCCCCTGACAATTCCTTTGGCCCTAGATCAGTGGAGTGGAGGGCATTATTGTATCACTGGCTACTCTAAAACCATGTCAGAGTCAGGGCCCACTTTTACTTCTTCAGTAAAAATTTGTACTTGACACCCACTTCATATAAAATTAAGTGCTTACAGTGAATTCTCACCATTAGGATCCCCAAGATCTGGCCCTCCCCTGCACTGTAGATCTTGTCTCTCACTGATGCTGTACTGAAGCACTGTATTGGATGGGAAGTGCTTAGGATTCAGGTGGATATAGGGTTGAACCCTGGCTCTGCATCTAACAGGGCACAGAGCCAGTGAGTCTCTGCACTGGTTATTCTGCCCACCCCCAATCCATTCTCTGCTCTTCCCTACACCCAGAGAGGTCAACCCCTGCAGCCTGTGTCCCTCGGCCCCTGTGCTGGCTCCTTTCTGCTAGATTAAGTCAATGCAGTGGGTGCGCACTGGCAAGTCGCTAGAGGTCAGGGCGAGCTTTCCCTGGGTTTCCTTCAGTGCTATCCTATCTCCCTTGGCAGTTGCAGCCTCTACCGTGTGGGTTCTCCTTCTTGCAGCTGTCAGTAATGGCAGCCTATCCTGTCTCACCACGACCACCAGCCTGAGGGTGGGTAACGCTCTTCTGTTTTTTGTGCCGGGGTGCCTCAGCAGCCTTCTTCAGTTCCTTACTCCTGTATCTCTAGACCATATCTTTATTTGAAAGATATTTTTGTTGAACATCTATCTGAAGGGACAGTGTTTTTTTTTTTTTTTTTTCCCTTTCTGTACTAGCTTGCATGGTTTCTGATAAGTCAGCTGTAATTCTTATCTTTGTTCCTCTTATAAAAAGCCTTCTTTTCCTTTTTTTGTCTGCTTTCAAGATTTTCTTTCTTTGTTTTGTATTTGGTGATTTGAACATGATATAGCTAGGAATGTGTGTGTGTGCATATTCTCCTTGGCGTTTTCTGAGATTTGGGGGATATGGATCCATTATTAATTATGAACACCTCATGGCCACTATTTCCTCAAATATTTCTTCTGCCTGTTTTTTTCTCTTCTCCTGGAATTCCAGTTACATGTATTCCAGGATTCACAGTTCTTGAATGTGCTGCTCTGTATTTCTTCTCTTTGTGTTTCTATTTGGGTAACTTCTATCCACCTATCTTCTTTCTGGCTGTGTCACCAGGAGCGAGGAGCCCATCCAAAGCATTTTTCATCTTTGTAACTACTTAGCATGTCTAGTGTTTTCATTTGATTCTTTCTCACAGTAGCCATCTCTCTGCTGAAATTACCCATCTGATCTTGCACATTGTTCATCTTTTCCATTAGAGCTTTTAATATAATTATAGTCATTTAAATTCTCTGAAAGATAGTTCCAACATCTGTGTCACATCTGAATGTGCCTCTGATGATCCCATTTTTGCCTTTTTCTTGCCTTTTGTGTGTCCAGTTGAAAGTGTGACATCTTATGTAGCACAGCAGAGACT